GAAGTCACTCTCGTGCAGTGGAGTATTAAGCCCACCTTTCAGTGGAGAGTCCACATTGGTCAAGGCCATGAGGTTCTGAGCTTCCTGCAGAATCCTGTCTTGGGAGGCCGGTGTCCATGGTGTTCTCAGAGCCATGCTGTTGTTTTTGACATTGTACACAAACAGGAGAGTGCTGGAAGCAGAATTTGTGATTCCAGACTCCTCTGCAGTCTGCCGTGCAACTTCACTGGCCTGGCCTACTTTGACAACTTTCTGGAGTTCTGCATCTGAAATCTGAGGGGCAGGCAGCACTAGCTTGCTTCTCTTTTTGGTAAACTCAGAGATACCACTAGTTTGAAGAATAGCTGATGTTAAATCAGATTCCTTTTTCCTTTTTAAATGGTATTTGTCTTTTTTTCTATCTCTTCCTTCTTTTTCAGATCTTAGCTCCCCATCAAGATCCTGCTGTCGTAATTTCCTGAAATCTGCATCAAGAGCCTGGTAATTCTCCTCAGAAGTATCATAAAAACCAAGAGCAGGCTTTTTCTCAAATGGTATTTCAGCATTATAATCAACTCCTCTCTTCTTCTTCTTCCTTTTCTTCTGAATCTCTATGCCAGCTGCTCGAAGCTCTGGTCTTTTCTGGAGGGCAGCAAGGCATCTTGCTTCTTCCACCTGCTTTTCCCTTGCTTTCCTCTTAGCCTTCTTTCCTTGAGTATTGGCCAGGCGGGCTCGAGCCTCAGAAAGCATCTCAAGTTCATCCTCATCCATATCGATTGGATCAGGCCGAGCTGGCTTTGTTTCTGGATTTGGATCTATCTCTCCAGGTTTAAGTTTTCGGGGGTCGTCTGTTGTTTCCTCTTCATTGTCTCTTTGGGAAGTCTTGTCCAGGAGGAATTCATAGTGTTCCAAGCACTGGGCTGCTGTTCTTCCTATGATCAGAGCAATGTTCCTTCACTGCGTTGGCATCAGCTTGGCCAAATGCAAGAGTTTCTCCTCCTCTTCTCTAGACCATTCAGTTTTTTTAATACTTGGGTCCAGCCATTCATACCATCTGGCTTTGCACTGCTTTGCTGATTTCCTATGCAACAATGAAGCAATCCTATACCACTGGCTTTTCCCATATTTCATTACCGCTGCTTTCAGAATTTCATCCTCGATATTCCTCCACACGCCCCCTTTGATCATAATCTGAGGCATCTTGATGCGGGAGAGTCCTGGCAAGCAGCCGAGAGGAGCTTCAAGAAAGTAGTAACAGCACTTCGGTCACAGGATGCAAAGAAGCCACTGCCTCCAAGAGCTCCCCCTTTTCCTTTTTTTTTTTTTTTTTTTTTTTTTGTTAAATAGTAAAATAGCTTTTCTAAGCAGAAATTTCAGTTACGTAAATAATTGAAAATGAGAAAATATCAAGGATTTTTCTTTTGTAAATTTTTCACTCACCCAGTGAATTTTCTCGGGCCTCGGCAATGTTTGGTAGAGATGCAGTAATGTTAGCTCAGCTCTGGGGTCAGATCCTCAATGTGTGAAGGGGATAGATCTAGCAGGGTCTGGAGACAGAAGGTTTGGAAACACACTCTGTGGAGTCTGGAGAAGAATGAACCTGGTTAGGCCCTGCAATCTCCTTTTATGGAGGCTGTGATGACCATGCCCATTTCCTTCCCTGGTTGCTTTTACTAATGCTTCCAATAGGTGAGCTCCAGTAGATTGAATCAACCCTGTTTCCAATCTGCACAAGCAAGTCTCCACAACAAGGTTTCCTGAGTTACTGTTTAGCTGGGTGGAAGCTCACACCTTTAATCCCAGAGTCCTAGGAAATGTACTACTGAAGCAGGAAGATTTTTTTTTTAGTTCAAGGCCAGACTAAAATACAGAGTAAGAACTTTGCTTTTTTTAAAAAAGTAATTTTACAATATTTTGCTGTACCTAAATATTTCACAGTGTGCTTATATTTTGCTTTTGATCATGTAACAGATGATGATGATGTCATTAACTTCTGATTCTAGCAAATACCAAAGACTACTTTCTCCAGACATCTTCATTCCCTACTCACTCAACTTTATTTTCTGAAAAAAAAAAAAAAAATCTGTAAATCTCATTCTATTTACTATTGACTCTGTAGAGTGACACTGGAGTTCAAGGTTTTCTAGCTCCCCAGCTGTCTTTAGTTCATGTTGACCAGACAGAAAATTCTGTATTAATGCTGTAGATGTGCAATAGTTAAGAAACTTCTGCATCTCAACCAGATACTGTTGCACATGCTGAGTTTGTATTTTTCATGTTCTTAGCTGAAAACTTTCCCATTCTCTTCCCTTCTTACAGATCCTTTAAATCATCAGCCACAGAATGTTTGGCTAGGGTTTTAGGTGGATCCTCACACCTGGAAAGATCTGGGTTTGGGTGGGGCTTTCTACTTCAAATAATTCAATCAAGAAAAAACCCTCGAAAGAAAAATTCCAGCTGGGTTGGTGTGATGGTAAATGCTTATAATCCTAGCACTCAGGGAGGCAGAGGCAGGTAGATCTCTGTGAGTTCAAGCCTAGCCTGATGTCCAAAGTGAGTCCAGGACAACCAAGATTACATTGAAAAACCCTGTCAAAAAAAGGAAAGAAAAGAAAAGAAAAGAAAGAAAGAAAGAAAGAAAGGAAGGAAGGAAGGAAGGAAGGAAGGAAGGAAGGAAGGAAGGAAGAAAGAGAGAGAGATTCCAGCCTCATGGGTTTTAGTTTACTCCAGATGCAGTCAAACTGACAAGCAAGAATAGCATCACAAGAACTGACCACTTTGTCCTAGATGATCAGTTAGGGAGCTCATCCCTGATAGAGGCTAATTCTTTGTCTAGGGGTGGGACTTTTTCAAAATTTTCCATTACCACATCAATATGTCCATAGTTCTGGTCTTGTTTATGTAGCCATTTCTAGAGGCAGTTTCACAAAAGACTTCCTTGTATTCTGGCTCTTCCTAGCTTTTTCACCCTCTTCCAAAATGTTTCTAGAGCCAATGATGCAGGGGTTAGGATATAGGTGTATCTCTTGGGTCTGGGATCCCCATGATCTGTTGGTTTTTGCAGTCTGTCCAGCGGTGGTATTCCTTGAATGTCTGCCTGTGTGGCTCATTGCTTCTTTTCTATATTATTTGTAAATGAGCTTCGCTAGGATTTTTAAAACTGGATTTTCAATCTAATGTTTTGTTTACTTTGATAGTAAACCAAATCAATGATAAGTTAATGTCTCTGCAAGTATGAGATCAAGGAAGCACAGGAGGATTGGCAGGAAAAGAGCATTTATGATTACTTATATGTCATGTCAGTTTTCCACGTTGAGCTGTGTTTACTATTTAGAAATCACAAAGGACCATAATAAGTGTGTTAAGTTGTAATCCAAATTCATTGCAAATTTATTTGTAATGGGCAGAATCTAGAAACAACCTAGATGTCCCTCAGCGGAGGAATGCATACAGAAATTGTGGCACATTTACACAATGGAATACTGTTCAAATATTAAAAACAAGGAAATCATGAAATTTGCAGACAAATGGATGG